TAGTGTGCAGATTGATAGTGATGGTCTGCTTTTTTGGAAGGCTGATGCTGGTCTGATCTGTCTGATGGATTCGTATCAGTTTGAAGAATTTTATTGTTTGCTGTTGCAGATGCACATAGGTGTTTGGCTGGTCTGATCTGCAGCTGTGTGCTCTAGTGTGCAGATTGATAGTGATGGTCTGCTTTTTTGGAAGGCTGATGCTGGTCTGATCTGTCTGATGGATTCGTATCAGTTTGAAGAATTTTATTGTTTGCTGTTGCAGATGCACATAGGTGTTTGGCTGGTCTGATCTGCAGCTGTGTGCTCTAGTGTGCAGATTGATAGTGATGGTCTGCTTTTTTGGAAGGCTGATGCTGGTCTGATCTGTCTGATGGATTCGTATCAGTTTGAAGAATTTTATTGTTTGCTGTTGCAGATGCACATAGGTGTTTGGCTGGTCTGATCTGCAGCTGTGTGCTCTAGTGTGCAGATTGATAGTGATGGTCTGCTTTTTTGGAAGGCTGATGCTGGTCTGATCTGTCTGATGGATTCGTATCAGTTTGAAGAATTTTATTGTTTGCTGTTGCAGATGCACATAGGTGTTTGGCTGGTCTGATCTGCAGCTGTGTGCTCTAGTGTGCAGATTGATAGTGATGGTCTGCTTTTTTGGAAGGCTGATGCTGGTCTGATCTGTCTGATGGATTCGTATCAGTTTGAAGAATTTTATTGTTTGCTGTTGCAGATGCACATAGGTGTTTGGCTGGTCTGATCTGCAGCTGTGTGCTCTAGTGTGCAGATTGATAGTGATGGTCTGCTTTTTTGGAAGGCTGATGCTGGTCTGATCTGTCTGATGGATTCGTATCAGTTTGAAGAATTTTATTGTTTGCTGTTGCAGATGCACATAGGTGTTTGGCTGGTCTGATTTGCAGCTGTGTGCTCTAGTGTGCAGATTGATAGTGATGCTCAATGCTTGGGATTGTATCAGTTTGAAGATTTTTGCTCATTGTTGTTTCATGTTTAGTGCCTGGTTGGGTCTCTGCCTGGTTGTGTCCACATAGCATTGGTTTGGTTTTTGAGCAGTCCATCATCCAACTCCATGCTCTTCTTGGCAACAGTTGCAGATGCTGTGATGTTGCACAGATTTTGCAGATTATAGAGAGATTTGGATGGTAAGCTGGTCCTTGCAGATTGATAGTGATGCTGGTCTGATATGCTCTGCAGGAGGAATGGTCTGATTTATCATTTTGCTGTAGCTGCTGGTGTGTGGATTGTATCATGTTGCTTTAGGTGGATTGTATCAAGCTTGGTTTTCTTTTTTCTTTTCCCTTTCTTTTGCTTTCCTTTGATTGGTTTCTCGCCAATCTTGGGTCAAGTGCTAGCAGATGATTTTGCTTCCTTCGCGGTGCCAACCTAGTTGGGATGGTTAAGGCTAGCGGTGATGCTTTTGCACTTCCCTCTTTATTGATGTTTGTTCTTTGCTTGTTCTGCTTTCTTCATCAATAAAATTCTCTTTGCTTATCAAAAAAACTATTTACTATTTCATTTGCAGTGTGTAGAGAAAATAAACATGTCACAAATTTTAGAATCACTGTGTGGTACATTGTCCCCCAAATCACATTTTTTAAAATGGGATCGAAACGCCCTCGTTGAAGAAATTCCCAAAAATCTTTCGCTTCCCACAATTCCCGGTCCATGGTGTCGAGTAATCCCTCTCCCCCTCTCTCTCTCTCTCTCTCTCTCTCTCTGGCCTCTTCAAAATTAAGAAAGAATTTTAACAATTTTTTTTATTTTTATTTTTATTTTTTGCAGAATTATAATTATATTTACTCTTATGTTTGGGCAAATGATGAAACTGTACGAAAAGCTCTTCATGTTCGAGAGGTATTTTAAATTTGAAGAGTACCAATCAGTAATTAAACCCTAATATTTATGTTTGACAGTATGGTATTGATTCATTTAGGTGATTTTCAGGGAACCAAAGAGGAATGGCAGAGATGTAATAAGACCTTATCTATGACAAACGACGTCGCTAATAGTGTCGACTTTCATAAAAATCTCACCACAAAACGTTGTAGAGCTCTTGTTCACAAAACATTTTATAAGTTTGACATAAAAATTTAAGAAATTTCAAAATATATTCAAGTTTGAGTCGTTTATATTTCAAGTCAAACTCAAAAAAATTTAGTCAACCCAAACTCAAATAGTTTGATTTTTCACAAATTCTAGAGCGAGTAAATTCATATATTTTGGATCCAACTCTAACTAGTATTTTTCGGATGTAATTGACGGTTGTAGTTTGTGGAGAATTGAGACATATATATATCTAATATTTTACCATTAAAATATTTAAAAAAATTCTTCCGTGACAGCGGCGATCATGACATGGTTATTCCATATGTGGGCACACTAGAATGGATAAATGTACTGGATTTGCCAATTGTATATGGTTGGAAACCATGGTTCCTCCCTGGTGAAGTTTCAGGGTTGGTTTCTAAACTTGTTTATCAGTGTAAAATTTCTCAGTTTTCAATTTTTATTAACTGAAAATTTTCAATACACAATACAAACACAGAGCGGTACACAAACAACTTGTACTCGTTGACATTTGCAACCGTCAAGGCAAGAAATCCCTCCTCCCCTTAATTATTTTCTGCAATGTTGCCTTGTAATGTCCAGTCACAAATCATAACGATGTGTCCCACTTTGAGCTAGACTCTTACGACTTCAAAACACATTGTTACAATGCAAAATCACACACGAGTCTATTTGGTGCACATTTTTATAAGTTAAAAAATTGATTATCAGAAAACATAAGTAAGAAAAAAAAGTATATTTTCTCTAACTTTGAAATAATCAATTTTTAAAACTTATTTAAGTCATTTTTACCTAATAAATGGCAAGTAAAAAGTTACATTAAATAATATGACACGAACTCTTAAAATAAAAAACTAAAATTAAAAACATGAAAACTATAAGCAGCTCATATACAGTGGTGAAGTTAGGAAAATAGTTTAGAGGAGGCATTTATTAATTAAAATTTTCAAATTTTTTTTTCTGATAATCAATAACAGAAATTAATTTTTTTTAAATTAATATTAAGTACGAAATCTTAAACATTTAATATAAAAGTTTTAATTTTTTCTTTTTACAATTGACTTTGTGAAAAATTAGAATTAGAAATATGGTATTACTATATAATTAGTATATTACAAGTAATGCAAAAGAGTCTTGTATGTCTAATGATAAACTATATAATAATACATAAATAATAGTGATACCACATCATCATCAATATATGGTATTACTAACCAATAGTAAAATAACGCATCGAAGGTTAATCTCACTTGTCAAATTGTTGGCACCATAAATTTGTAATTTTTATTATTATTTATTATTTATATAATTGCAGGACATGTAGCATCCACCTACTCATTTGGAGGTTATGAGAAGTTATGAAATGTGAAAAAGATGATGGACAATAAAGTGAAAAACATGGAGCATGAATTGGAGGTTAAAGGAAGTTATGAAAACATGGAGAGATATGTGGCATTGTGAGAATGAAGAAGGAAGAGTGGGTAGTTGTAGGTGGTTATTGGGTGGTTATTGCTGGAAGTTTTTTCCTACAAATATTTGCCTATAAATAGCCATTCATGGCTACATTGTAAGAATCCAGAATTCATAATCAAAGACAATTGATTTCAATATTTCTTGTCATTTTCCTTATCTTAGGAGTAGTTTAACATACATTTATATTTTGAAGCATTTATTTTCAGCATTTTCATTTCGAAGCATTTTATGCACTTCCTTTTCGAAGCATAGGAGTAGAGGTAAGTAATTATTACTTTGATTGTTCACTCAATCGTCTTTCTCCGTCTCCCTCATTCTTCTTTTAATTTTTCTTTTCTCTACACTTGGTAATTTTGAAGTCCTATTTGTTGAGGCAAAAGAACCATCAAAGCAATCGCTTAATAATTGGTTTGAATTTAATCTGTAAGGATTTTTCAATCTTTGCGTTTATAGATGACATATTTTGTAGACTGTTATCTGTGAACAATATACTTTGATTACTTTAAGAAGTTATGGAAAATACTTGTTTATCGAAAAAAAAAAGAAAAAGAAGTTATGGAAAATACTTGGAGTTGTAAACATCAAGGTAGCTTTTTTACATGGTATTACTCGGCTTGAAATAACTAAATTTTATAATATAGTTTATTATGCCCTCTTGGCCCCTATGTAGTTCCACCCCTGCTCACAAAGAGGTCTCTCCCTTCAAATCGTACTGATGTTGTGATCAAGAATTTAGTGCTTTGGTTCTTTGTTCACCAAGCTCTTGTGCCGAGGTTTCAACAACAATCCCCTTGTGTTTAGTGGGAATTGAAATTCCCCAGGTTCTTGACAAAGTTCACGAGGCTGAACACCAAAGTAGAGCCAAGTTGTTTGAGCACTTGCTCCATTTTAATTACTATTAGTATTGGCCCACCATGGATGCCGATGCCATAACCTATGCAAAACTATACATCGAAACGAAGTTTTAATCCTTGCCTGACAACTTGGAGACTCTGGTTCAACACTTCTCTGGCCCACTGTTACTGCACTCTCTCTTTCTTTTCCTAAGACCATGTGAACTCTCACCCTGCCCACCTTAAGTGATTTCGTCATCTCAATGCCTACCATGTCCAAGTGCTCCACAACCAACCCACTTGCTCTTTATCACCCACATAGTTTTCGACCTTAATGCAAGTAATGGTGTTATTCTAGCTTTCATACAGCCTCTATCATTTACATGGGCAGGAGAATAGTGCGAACCCAAGTAATGGTGTTATTATAGGAGAGAAACTGGAACTGCCATCGGATTCACCCTAGATACAAAGTATAGCTTTATACTAGGCATATTTTTCTTGTTGCAATGAAGTCAGGGGATCTCTTGATTATATTAATTTGGTAATTATTTGCAGTGATGATCATGGCCATTGAGGTTTTTTATTCTTTGACCTTTTGCTAAAATTATGAATGGCTTTGATAGGTTGAGTTTACTTATCTTTTACCTTTTATGGGTCTAATTCTTAGGTTAGGCCATGCTTAACAGGATAATTGTCACCGATTTGCTATCACCGTTGATTCTATAGACATCACTGGCTACAAAGACTAATTAACTGTTCCCATTTGGTGTGTTTGTGTGTTTCCTCCACCCAGCTTGGAGTATTTCCTTCTCTCTCTCTCTCTCTGTCTTATTTATTTTTTATGACATATATATTTCATAATGGCTATGGCATTTATGTTCACTTGATATCTTCTATTGCAGGTTTACTACAGCTTCAACCCAATATTCATGCTCGCCGAGCCATTGATGTTGGCATCTGTGTTTTTCTTCTTTTTCATGGGTTGTGTAGCTTACCTGCACGTTGACCTTTCCATTCGGAAGTGAAAAAGTAACACATATTGGGGATTCTTAAAAGGTATAAGAATTCAAACTCATTGATAATAATATACATATCTACACTGGAAATTATTATGCATTGAAACTTACTTTTTTCCATTGTAGCTTTATCGGAGAGTAACTTCGACTTTGGCTGTGTGACCTAGGCTAGCGGCCAAGAGTTCTTCAGTGCATCAACATGAGAAGAAATCTTGTGATACATTTAAAATTATGAAATTTTGTTTGGGTTTCAAATAGGAAATTGTTGTTTGTACATTGTTCCCCATTTTATTGAGACTAAAGTAGGTCCCTGCAATCGAAAGGGGAAGGCATCAGATTGCTGGTAAAACAACTCAGGAGGTAATTTAGACATAACATGTTTTATTTCTCTTTTTTTCGCACGAGTCCATTCTATCCTAAAGCACATGATGGTGTTTGTGCTGCCCTTAATAACATGATTGGTGCTCTTACATTAAGGTAAAATGGGCTGTAGAATACATTATACAAACTCTAATTTTACTAAAGCCAAGCATCAGATTGCTGGTAAAACGACTCAGGAGGTAATTTAGACATAACATGTTTTATTTCTCTTTTTTTCGCACGAGTCCATTCTATCCTAAAGCACATGATGGTGTTTGTGCTGCCCTTAATAACATGATTGGTGCTCTTACATTAAGGTAAAATGGGCTGTAGAATACATTAGGTCGGTCTTGTAAGTATGAAATAATATTTTTGTTTTTTAGAACTGAAATACAGTTTTATATCTAGCTTACTCCCCCTAACTCTTTATTTAGTTCACATATTTGGAAAGGGAAAGGAAAAAGATAAATGAAATGTGAATAAAATATAACTACATTTCACTTATGTTTGACACAGTTTTTCCATTTCTCTTTCTACATATTTTCTTAAATTCATAAACTAAATACAGAGTCTAAGGGGGTATGGGGAAAGGGGAGTCGCTAAGCAATGGGAACAGGTGACTCCGCAATAGGTGGGTGGAACAGATGGGGACTTCTGAAACTCTCACACCCAATCTCGCCTACTCCCAAACTCGGGTAATATGTATTATACAAACTCTAATTTTACTAAAGCCAAGGAGCAATTTTTATGATTGCATATGTGCTGTAAAACATCAACTCCTTCAATAATCATGGATAGTTCTGCTTGAAAAGGTATGTTGATTCCACTGTAAACTCGTATGTATTTATTTATTTTGTTTATATAAATAACACATGCCTGATAAAAGTATATGATGTTTTCTTTGAGCAGTCAAGAGTGGTTCAGCTCGCTCATGGAGAAAGGTCATACCATATCTTTTACCAACTTTGTGCTGGTGCTCCGTCTGGCCTCAAAGGTTGTTTGTATCCTATCATTATTTCATTCATGGAAGTTCAGTGAATCTAGAAATAGTTGTTGAAGTGATAGAATCTGAGATCCATTCTGGGTTTCCAATAACATGATGTAGAAAATTATATTTTTTTGTTAAGAAGCTAGAGACATTTCTGTTGAGATATATAATGTGGTTCTCTATATCAGCTATATAATTACAACCTAAGAAAATTTATGGTCTCTTACTTCGTGTCATATATTTCTTTACAGATAGACTGAATCTAAAATCGGCTGTTGAGTTCCATTATCTAAGTCAGAGTGGCTGCTTGGCAATTTATGATGTTGATGATGATAGGAAATTTCAAACGCTTATGGTAATTAGACTTCACTATACAGTGACATTTTCTCTATGTTCTTTCTGTGTCCTAATTATTTTTAATTTTATTTATTTTTTTCTACTTTGACAGGAAGCCTTAGATACTGTTCGACTTTGCAAAGAAGACCAAGACAATGCGTTTGAAATGCTTGCTGCAGTGTTGTGGCTGGGAAACATATCATTTCAAGTAATTGACAATGAAAATCATGTAGAGGTGGTGGCTGATGAAGGTAAGGTCTATATCTTGGTTTCTAGTTATTTTTTATTTATAAATAAAATAAAATTCAATTCTGGTGGTTTTCCTTTCCTTAATGTTGTTTCTACGTAAACTTTGAATTTCTATTATTTTTTTTACTATCTTGGACATTTGTATTTGGTCATGGGTGAGGGCATTGGTTGTATATCTGCACTGTAGGAGCTACATGTTAATTTATATGGGTAAAATACTATCTATTAAGCATTTCATACTGGATATAGATTGAAAATGTCACCAACAAGTTATCTATGAAGTAGAATGAATCAAGTGATTTTTTTCTATCACCCTTGCTTCATGTCATGGTATCCTCTAGGTAGCTTGCCTAGTACATCATCGAGTACTGGTTCAACACATGACACTACTGCTGGTATGAATTATTTTATTCAATTGAATTACTCCATTAGATTTCTTTGTTAATGTTCTTTTTTCTTTTGATGTTTTACATTTCTTTGTTAATGTTATTTGTTGATTGGCTTCAGGTTCAGTCTAGTTAGTTGAGTTCTATGATGTGCATGGTCATAAACATTTTAAGTCTTTGATTGACTTGGCTATTGCATATGGATTTAGATCATCATCAATTTATATTAAAATATTCAGCATTGGGAAGGTGTTCACCTGATATTTTGCTGCATTTATTTGCTTTCCCTTAGGTGGAATGGTGAGAGATGCTTTGTGGAGAGTGCTTTTGTCGCTGATATTTTCAATATAATTGGTGAGAAATGCAATTAACTTGGAGTTTTCAGACTACAAGAGGTTGATAAACAATAGCATTGTGCTACAAAACATCAGATTTTGCAGAAATGTTTTTGCTGCTTGTTGCTTTCGGCTTAATAGCAAGCGACGAATATAGTGCACAGTGCACAACAGAATTGGGAGACGCAAAATCTGAAAATTGCTGCTCTTACCAAAGATATGATTTGCTTGCTCCCTAAGTCCGGAGCGATTTAGGAAACACAGACGATACTTTTTTTCATTTTTTTGTAAATCAGAACTGTTTTGTTTTCCAAGTTACTTTGTAATTAGCTATAAATGAACTACATGTTTTGGATAATAGAGTCAATGATACTGTGTTGTTATGGGGCATGACTTGAATTGCAGAGATCCAGATATACTTTGTTGTTGGGTATAATCACTGATGTTGAATAAGGGGTGAACAACCCATAGAGATCAAGAGATTGATGAATTACTGGTTTTAAAATGTAGAACATTACTTGATTTGCAGGTTTTAAAATGCTACACACTTGGAAAAAATGACAGAAAATAAAATGTGAACATATTCATTCTAGGTATACTTGCAACTGCACTAATTTAGAATCCCCCCTCCCCCCGCCAAAAAAACAAAAAAAGAAGTAGCGTTTTTTGAAAAAATGCCACAAAATGATGTCATTATCACCACAAATTAAAAAATTAAAAAAATTAAAAAACAGTGGCGTTTTTAAAAAACGCCACTAAATGACGTCATTGTGACGTCACACGTTAACTTGGGACGGAGGACACGTTAACTTGGGACGGAGGACACGTTAATTTGGGACGGAGGGTGAGACGGTCGTCAAAGATTTTGCGGCATTTTAAGAAACGCCGTATAATATTTTTAGCGACGTTTTTAAACGTTGGGTAGCTATTGCGGCGGCCCTATCAGCGGCGAAAATTTTACACGTCACTATAAGAGATTACAGCGTTTTTCAGGCTTCATTAGATCAGCCTCCATTGTAGTATCTGAGAATGTTGTGCTTCTTGTGCCCATCTAAACATCCCCCAACATGTTTTTAATCTTTTATCTGTTTGTTTGGATGTTGGAATGAAGAGGCATCAAACCTTGCCCACTTTTTCCGCTCCAACCATGGCATCAAACCTATATCAAATGAAGGGCGAGTTACTTTTTTCGTCAAATCAAAAGAGTGCTTTATTCTTCATCAAATTTGTGGGTGATTATTGAGCTGGACGTCTTTCCAGACAACCGGGTTTGGGATGAATTAGGATGAAAATTTACTTTTACCGAGCGACTACTTTTACCCAATTGATGAAACCTATTGGAGTGCATCATATCAGGTCAAATTTTTTATCAAATTTTTACTCAAATTTGATGAAAATTTTGATGAAGCGTTGAAGATATTTGTTTTATGCTAGGTAAATTATACTTTGTTATTTTTATGTTTGGTTATTTTCGCACACTGGCTCTTAAAATTTTTAATCTTTCATATTTCAAGTTTTTAAATTTACTTTTTAAATTTATTTCTATTCAAAATTAGATTAAAAAAAAAACCACATTAACTGTCATATAATGTAAAAATTATATTATTATATTGGATTTAGATTTATGTTTGAGATGTGAGTTATATATAATAAAATATTTTTAGATCACGTGGCTATCAATGTATTATTTTGTGAGTAGTTTTATACATAAATTAATTTTGAAACAATTGAAAAAAAATTTAAAATATGAAGGACTAAAATGAAAAAAATAATAATTAATAAAGTGTAATACACCCTTTTATGTATGGATTAGGCTTGTCTCCAATCCAAAATTGGATTGAAACCTACTGTTGGGCCTGTGAGGCTCACTGCAGGTCTAGTTTTGATAATTCAAACCATTTAACTTTAAATTGTTTTGTATACAATCATATTCAAGACAAGTACTTCACCATCCGAGGTATCTTAGCTATCTAGGTTTGTATTCAATCTTTATCTTCCAGAATTTGTCGCTAGCCTAATTAACTATGGGTGGAATTCGGTATTAGTGGGATGTTGGGCAGATTATTACAAAAAAATGGGAATCTTTTGGGGGCAACTTTTTTGTGTGTTTTTCTACACAGAAAAGACTTGCATGATTGGTATTATTTTTTTTTGTGAGTGTGTGTGGTCATATACACTAATTTGTAGCTGCTTCTTAACTATAAGTATTGGTTTATGTACATGTCGAAGGAGGAATTAGGCGCTCTCATCGGAGGAAGACTGAATCGGGTTTTGACAAATTACTTTCGCTTTAAATATTTGGAATGATGCTTCTAATGGATATCTGTATGAGGACTGCTGTGTTAGGGGTGAGCATAGTCCAGATTAGATTGGATTGGGATAAAATCGGAACCAATCCGTTATTTACGGTTCCTTAAAAATTGGAATAAATCAAATCCGTTTAAATCGTGGAACCAATCTGAACCAATCCATTTAAACACGGATTGGATCGGTTTAGGACCACAGATTTACATAATTAAATAACAAAAAAATATATATAACACTTTAATTTCATAAAAATATAATTATAGCACCATATTAGTTTCACAATAACAACATATCTTTTCATAATAACGACATATTGTTTTAGAATTTAAACAACCATAAAAAAGTTGGTTCCACCATAAGTATTTAGATCATTACAAATTAACATTAAAAACTAGCAAACAAAAATAATAAAAGAAGATACTTTGTGAGTTTAGGTTTGGATTTAAGTTTTATATAAAATAAGAGAAGATACTATGCAAGAGGGTGTATAATAAAAATATAGACTATTTGTATACGGTCCGGATCGGTTCCAATCCAGAACCGTGGGATTTAATCCGAAACCAATCCATAAACTACGAATTTTTAATTTTTTAATCCAGAACCAAACCACGGATTTAAAAAATCAATCCAAACCTACTGGATTGAATTGGACTAAATCGAATTATGAATTTCACGAATTTCTTGCTCAACCTATCCTGTGTGTTTCGAGCAGAGGTTTTTTGTTATATAGCATAACAGAAAAGGCGAATGTACATCAATCATGAAGGATCCTCCGAAAGGCACTTTCACTTGGAGTTGAAAACCCAAACCAAATTATATCCTTATAATCAACATAATCGCGCAAGTAATTGAAAAACAAGTTTATTGTACACACTAACCAAACTGTTGATAATATATTATAATTTGAGAAAATATCATTTTACTTTCCAAATTATTACGTGAAAATTAATTTGGCACCTAGATTTCGTATTATTTTAATTTGACCTTAAACTTTTTAAAATTTAGTCAATTTATCCTCCATTGTTTGTTTCCATTTACAACCAAATGAAACTTACTCACATGTCACTAAACTTTATTTGGAACTTTATTTTATTCCTCAAATACCTTAAAAATCAATTAGTCCACCAAATATTAAAAATAAATAAATTTAAGGGAGGCTTATTTATAAGTCCTATTTCAGACACTTATGCTTTGTTAATTTAGGGAATAGACTAGCTATAACTACATGCGCTCGCACACATAGAATAACCAAGAAATTTTCGACTCAATTAGTTTTTCCAGATCGACTCGAGATAATTTGACACTTAAAGATATAATTCTAAATGATGATTTATATATATATATATATATATATTTATGTTTTTGCAAAATATATTATTTTAATTTTAATTTTTTCATTATTGAGATAAAAAATTATTTATTAATATTTAAATTAAATGTTTTTTTATATATATATTTGGAGGGCTAATTGATTTTTAACATATAATTGAAGGGATAAAATGAAATTTCAATTGAAATTTGGCTTCATGTTCGTTTGATTGTAGATGGAAACAAACGGCGGGAAATAAATTTATCAAATTTAAAAAAGTTCAAAGATCATTAAAATAATGTAAAGTCTGAGTATCAAATTAATTTTCACGTAATAATTTGGGGTACAAAATCATATTTCCTCTTATAATTTTTTGAAATGAAATAGAGAATTTCATTATACGTTTAACTTGAAACTAGGGGAAAGGGAAGTTCAAAAAAGAAAAAAGATATTCATTGAAAGCAAAGAATAGCAAGAAACCTTAGGAAGCAACGAATATACATCTATTTAAATCACATATTGAAGCCACGGAAGAAAAGAAAAGCAAGAAACAAAAACAAGACATGGAAGTGAGGGCTTTTGATACAAATGATAGCAACGAACATGCCATTGGTATGGTCTCTTCCCCTCTTTTAAATTCAACTCTATATCCTATTACGACTGGTAGAGTAGTGGTGGATTGTGTTTTGATGTTTAAATGTTATGCAGGAATTCAGAGATCATTAAGAGATGTTCCACCAGCTCACTACAATCTTAAAGTAGAGTTTTTCTCGTCATTTCTCAAGTACACTGGTACAGAAAATTATGAATCTGGTGTATTTGAAGCTGGTGGCTACAAATGGTGGGTCCAAATATTTACCTTTTGTTTGTTTTGGTTAAAAACAGATTTATAAAAAAAGGTGTAGATGTATTATCGTTTTAAAGTTCGAAAAACATTTTTCATTCAAATAAATTCAATTTTCAATGTAACAAACAATCACAAAATATTCTTGCCAAAACAAAGAGTCTTAGATTCGGTTATTCATCATTTAGTACTCTCAATCCCCTTTTTCTGATTCAGGAAATTGTCTCTTCACCCAAATGGAAATAAGAGAAGGAATGTGAATGGTCACATTTCTCTTTACTTGGCAATAGCAGAGACAAAAACCCTTGCTCCTGGTTGGGAGATTAATGCCAACTTCAGATTGTTTGTGTTCGATCATATTCGAGATAAATACTTAACCATCCAAGGTATATCTAACTACCTTTGTACTCAAATTTCTTTAATATTGTCCATAATTTTCATTCTTAACTTAACCATCTTTATATATACTCATTAATTATGTAGATGCCGAAGGGGAAATTAAGCGCTTTCATCGAATGAAAACTGAATGGGGTTTCGACCAATTGCTTCCCTTAGCTACTTTCACTGATCCCTCAAATGGGTATCTTCTTGATGATTGTTGTGTGTTTGGAGCAGAGGTTTTTGTTATAAAATATAACGGTAAAGGCGAGTGCGCATCGATGATGAAGGATCCTGTGAAAAACACTTTCACTTGGAATATTAGTAAATTTTCAGCAATAGATAAAGATTTTCTTTTCTCTGAAGAGTTTGTTGTTGGAGGGCGCAAGTGGTATTGATAGTTCAATTCTTTTATTTTTTTTATTTTATTTTCTTGTTCAACTAGATACATTATGGAATTTATTTTCATTCAGGAAGTTATGGTTTTATCCAAAAGGAAAAGCAAATGCAAAATGGAAAAGCTCTTCGTTGTTTCTGGTGTTGGCTGATAGTGAAACCCTTCCTTCTGAAAGGAAATTGTATGCTGAATATAAGCTAAGGATAAAGGACCAAGTCAAACGCAATCATTTTGAGAAAGAAGGTAAAATTTCATGCTGTGACATGTCTAAATATATTTGGGTTTATTACAAATATTGTGCTTGCATTTTTATAAATTTTGTTTTAACCCTTTCATTTTCAAGTAGACAGTTAAATTCTCACATTTTAAATTGAATTGCAATACCATCATTTCGTTCACCTAACATTAATATAAGGCTGATAGAAATTGACATGAAGGTCAAACACGACATTTTTCTTGCCCCATTATCACTTCTATATTTTTACTAAAATCTTACTTTGGTCACATTTTTTCATCAAAATTTCATTTGGTTTCTGTTGTCGCCTCAAAATAATATCATGTATCACTACAACAAACAAGTATTTTATTAGGGATCAAATTTTTGTACCCAAAAGTAAAAATTTTGTTGTAAAAAATGTTTGGAGATCAATTTTTGTTGTCGCAAAGATGATCGCTAAAAGATCACTCCGAAAAAGTCAAAAAAAGGACTTTTAGAACAATATTCTGAAATGTTGCTATTAAATGTATTTTTATGGACAAAATAATGTGGTCCAAAAAAGGTTTTTTTTTTAGACAATTTTTACCTAAAAAAGAATTCATCGCTTAATGTCCAATTTTGTCACTAAGAATACAATAATTATACTTCTGGCAACAAAAATATTTCGTCCTTAAAAAATTTCTAAATTTTTATATCTAAAATATTAATTTATTGTAGTGTGTATGGCTCACATGCCAATTTTCTTTAGCTTCTTTAATGTCAAACGGATAAAAATGTGATATTGTAACTAAATTCTTATAGTATTAAGGAGTCGATTATCACAATTTAAAATGGAGTGTGAATTAATTTTTTTTTTTTTTTGCCATTTTATTTATTTATTTATTTATTTTTGGATGCAGTGAGACATTGGTTCAGTGCCTCAAGCAATAACTGGGGTGATCAAGAATTCGTGTCTCTAAGTGATCTCAACGACACATCGAAGGGCTTCAAGCTGAGTGATGTCGTAATTGTTGAAGCACAAATCATCCTCATTTCTTGTTTTAAGAATTTCTAAACTAGTTGTTGTGGCTCTTCATATATCTTTGTGTTTTGAATTCTTGGTCCCAATTAATGTGCTGGTACCAGAACACAGAGTTTTATCTATGAAATGTACTTACAAAATTTGACTTGTAATCTATGTGTAATTAAATCTCACCAATTGTTTCAAAAGTTTTTAAGTTTATAGTAAATAGGCCTAATAATGTATGCCAAACTATCTAAAATCTTCCCTTACCTGCAATCTTGTCTTACATGTGGAGACGCAAATATCAATATATAGAGTGAAGCAATAATACAAATGACAGAGAGAATGGAAATGCGCTACAGATATACTAATAAGGTGTGCAAACTCTCATGTGCCAAGTCGCATGCCAATTTCATCAAATTCAATAATGCCAAGTGGACAAAATAATAACGCTACAATTTGACCTAAAATATAAATGATTGACTTCCATAATTGAAATTCGAGTGAGGCAAAGTGAAATTTTGATGAGTGTATAAAAGCACTAAGGTAATTAACTCACAAAAAGACAAAAAAAAAAACAAAAGAACCACAGCATATCTCTCAATCAACAAAAGGGGACGGGGGAATAACAAAATATGATAAACCACTTTCTAAGAGGTGCAAAACCATAGAATTGGCATATATTCTCTAACTTTGACATGTTATGCCTTCTACCTTTTCTCAAGAGCAGTTATTTGGTGATCTTGGAACAATACTCCACACTATTTAATTTGTAAGATTTGTCCTATAATTAGTAAAAATCTTGTTGAGACACCACATGTTCTTACACTAGGAGCACTGAATAATTTTCCCTTCTACAGTGGCTACATGAAATCGCCAATAATTTTTAATTTGAATTAATCAAACACAAATAGTTAAATTATGGGGCAAATTTGTCATAAATGAAACTACATTACCAAATTAATACAAGGGAAAAACTATGGGCATGGCCTGTTTGTTTGTTCAATTTTCATTTTGCATGAATGGAGATGGAGATTAAAAAAAAAATTATATTTACTACAAGTATAAGATTGAGATAAATTATAAGGATTACATTGTAACTTTCCCGAAAGAATAATCCAGTCCAAATATCCTAAAATGCTAAAACCTTTTTTAATGGATTTGGATAGAGAACTAACTGTTGAAGGAAACTAGGGAATCAAAGGAAAGTTGAAAAGCTATTCCATGAAAGCAAAGAATAACCAGAACTGTATGTTTAAGCTGAATCTAGGGACAGGGAAGTCAAGAAAGAGAATTCAATGAAAGCAAAGAATAGCAAGAAAACTTTTGGAAGCAATGAAAACATGTATTTATACACAAACTCTGAAGCCATGGAAAGCAAAGAATAGCAAGAAACAAAGAGAAGACATGGAAGCAAAGACCTCTCATCCGTTTGCTAACGACGACAGTGCCATTGGTATGATTCCTCTCCCCTTGTTTTAACTTTTTTATTTTTATTTTTCATGATCATCGACATTGATTCATTATCATAAATGTTATTTATTATCAAATTTATTTCACCGTTTTATTTTATTTGTTATGCATTTTTGTAATAAAAGTTAAGGCGAATTACATTAACAGTCCCTATAATTTGGAATTCGTGTTACTTTGTGGTGTTTGGGAGGTTTGGAACTTGAGTTTTTTTTTTGTTTTTTTCACAAAAAGACAAACTTTTTGCAAAAAAAAAAAAAAAAAAAAAACACATCCAAACAAAATATCACATCCAACCTCATAATCATTTCACTTTTTCTCTCACAAACATCACATCCAACCACAAAAAAACTCAACTATCTTTCCAAACACCAAAAAAAATTTCTCCAATAATATTCTACAACTAAAAAAACTTACATAAAAACCCACTTCCCAAACACCTACTTTGATTCTTGACTTTTCTATTGTGACACATTTGACCTTAAATTTTGAATTTTATTTCAAATAAGGACAATTGAAAATGCATTTGCTCAATTTCAAAAGCAAAATCGTTAATTTAATAAAATATAAACTAATTTGACAAAAATAAACATTAAAAAAATATTTTTGAATTTTTGAAGTAATTTTTACTCACTAAAGATAAAATTATGTAAAATTGATAAATCTTTTAAACATTTATTTTATTTTATTTACCAAATTAATTTTTATTATGTGTTTGGATGATGTTCATGTAATGGATGGTTATTAGATTTTTAATGTGTAATCGATATATTTAATATATGAAATGTTTTTCAGTTTTGAATTTTTTGATTTAATGGATTGGTTTAATAATGATATCAAAGTTGTCGCCATATTTGACTTTTGAAAAAAAAGAAATTAATTTAATAAAAATAAAAATAATCACTCATTACATGATCATCATCAAAATATATAATAAAAATTAATTTGGTAAATTAAATAAATAAATAAATATCTAAAAAAATTATCAATTTTATATAATTTTATCTTTAGTGGGTTGAAATAATTTTTAAAAATTTAAAATTATTTTTTTGACATTTATTTTTATCAAATTAGTTTATATTTTATCAAATTGACAACTTTGCCCTTGAAATTAAACAATGGTATCTTCAATTGTCCTTATTTGAAACAAGATTCAAAATTTAGTATTAAATGTGTCGCAATTAAAAAGTTAAAGATCAAAGCGACACAAGGCCCAAATTATAAGAATCGTTAGTGTAATTCATCCTGAAAGTTATATGTATGAGTAAGACTAATACTATGCCACATGAAAATCACATAAATGACTCATCGTGCCATCACATAGGGGCAAAGAATTTTGTGGAATATTTCGGTGATATGTAACCATGTTTGTACTGAAAATTATGTTTATTGATATATAATAAAAATTAATTTGGTAAATTAAATAAATAAATAAATATCTAAAAAAATTATCAATTTTATATAATTTTATCTTTAGTGGGTTGAAATAATTTTTAAAAATTTAAAATTATTTTTTTGACATTTATTTTTATCAAATTAGTTTATATTTTATCAAATTGACAACTTTGCCCTTGAAATTAAACAATGGTATCTTCAATTGTCCTTATTTGAAACAAGATTCAAAATTTAGTATTAAATGTGTCGCAATTAAAAAGTTAAAGATCAAAGCGACACAAGGCCCAAATTATAAGAATCGTTAGTGTAATTCATCCTGAAAGTTATATGTATGAGTAAGACTAATACTATATGCCACATGAAAATCACATAAATGACTCATCGTGCCATCACATAGGGGCAAAGAATTTTGTGGAATATTTCGGTGATATGTACCATGTTTGTACTGAAAATTATGTTTATTGTGAAAATGAGTTGGGTTTTAATATCAACAATATCATGCAGGAATTTTGAGATCGTTAAGAGACGTCTCACCAGCTCACTACACCCTTAAAATGGAATCGTTCTCATTATTTCTCAACTCCAAGATTGAAAATTATGAATCCGGTGTATTCGAAGCTGGTGGCTATAAATGGTAAGTTCAAATTCTTATAATTTTAATTATAAAGAATAAAATATGGAATGTAATATGATTAATCTCATATAAAATGTCGCGTCAAATGATGCTCAAATATAATCTCTCTAACATTACTCTTTACAAGATGGAAAATTCATACACCCTCTTCCTCTTTTATGTTTTAGGAAATTGTCTCTTTACCCAAAGGGAAACATGAAAAGGGATGTGAATGGTCACATTTCTCTTTACTTGGCAATAGCAGACACAAAAACACTTCCTCTTGGTTGGGAGGTTAATGTCAACTTTAAATTGTTCGTGTTTGATCACATTCGAGATAAATACTTAGCCATCCAAGGTAGCTCACATTGTCCATAAACTTTCCACTCTTGCTATCTTTCCTCTCATTTTTTCTGAGAATATCTAATAATTTTTCTTTTTTTACTATGTAGATTTTGAAGGGGAAATTAAGCGATTTCATCGGATGAAAACTGAATGGGGATTCGACAAATTGCTTTCCTTGGACAGTTTCACTGATGCTTCTAATGGATATCTTCTTGGTGATTGTTGTGTGTTTGGCGCAGAGGTTTTTGTTATAAATTACTACGGCAAAGGCGAGAGCGTGTCGATGATGAAGGATGCTGTGAACAACGGTTACGTTTGGAAAATTAGTAAATTTTCAGCAATGGATAAGGAATTTCTTATCACTTGGAAAATTAATAATTTTTCAGCAAATGAAAAGGAAACTTTGTACTCTGAAAAAGTTGTTCTTGGAGAGAACCTGTGGTAATTGACTGTTCAATATTGATATGTTTCTTTCAGTTTAATAATTCCAGAACAAATATAATTAGAAGATTTCAGGTTAGTGGTCCAGTCCAGGCATGTGGGCCTATCATGAACTCTATTTTGATAATTTAATCCATTATCATTGAAGTGGACTTATGATGGGTTCACAAGCCTGAACTAGACATCAAGTCCCCTACCCTCACAAGGGACGGGAGAGAAGCTATCTTCTAACTAAAAAAAACTTAATATATGTAGTTTTTTGAACATATGCACAAAATCTAACAACAAACCTGATGACTATCCTCTCACATAATGCGGGACCTAAATATTTGATTAGTCATACTTCTGTGTGAGAGGATTTTGTGTAATTCTATGATTGAATAAGGTGCTCCTAAAATTTGTCTTCATATGTAATTTTTTGTTTATTTATTTATTTATTTATTTTGCATGCATGGATGGGTTGCAGGGGGTTCTGGTTATTTCCAAAAACAAAAATGCTGTCACTGTATCTGGAGGTTTCCGGTTGGGAAACCCTTCCTTCTGCTCGGAAATTGTCTGCAGAATTCAAGCTGCGGATAAGGGACCAGCTCAATGGAAATCATTTCGAATCCCAAGGTAAATTTTTTTTTTTTTTTTATTGTTTTTCCAAAATAGTTTTTTTACTTGTAAAGAAGAAATCAATCATTAAATTGGACACAAACATCTTAGATGAGTGCCAGACTCACAGAATTATAAGACTTACATTATGTGAGAGAATTTTATTTGATTTTTAGACTTGTTTCGTTTCAAAATAAACCTAAATGCAGAGAAAACACAGATGAATAGGAGTTCAAAAAAATTGTGTTTGTCTAAATCAATCATTAATGTTGTGTTTGGTTGGGAGATTTGACGAGAGATTTGAAAAGGGAAATGGAAAAGGTGGGTGAAATGTGAATAAAACATACCTTTATTTGACCTAGTTTCACACCTTTTCCCTTTCCCTTTCCAAATTCCTCTCAAAATCCTCCAACCAAACACAACATAATTGTGCAGGTGCATATTATATGCACTTGCGCAACTTCTCACAAATATACGTAAGTTACCTCACAAAATTACGTAAGTTTTCACAAACATACATAAATCAATCTGTAAAAATTTGAGAAATCACAACTTACGTATATTTGTGAAAACTTACGCAATTTTGTGAGATAACTTATATGCATTTGTGAGAACTTATAGTTATATTTTAAGCACATTTCACCCACATTTTCTCTTTCTCTTTCTAAATTATTATCCAAATACAGATATTAATTTTTATCTATTAATTTGGTGTTGTTTTGGGCAGTCTTGACAAAAACGTACAGTTCCTCGAACGCATTTGAGGGTCGTTACGAGTTCTTGGCCCTAAATGATCTGAATGACGCATCAAAGGGCTTCATACTGAACGATGCGGTAATTGTTGAAGCAGATATCATTTTAAAGAGTTAGTTGGTCTCAAATGTGCATCTTCTATGAAAATTATTTGTATATTCAGATATACTCATTAGTCTATTTTCTTTTTTCTTTTTTATATTCGTGGGCTCACTGTTAGTTATAATGATTTATGAAGTAGTTGTGGCGCTTAATTTATGAACTTCTTTTGTGTTTTGAATTATTGGTCCCAACGTGCTGGTACCAAAACAGAGAGAGATGAACATTCGTCATTGTTATCATCGTGAGCGTGAAATGTGTAAAATATTCAATTTCTAATCATAATAATGCAAATAACTAAATCCAATTGTTCTTTCCTTAAATATTCACAATTGAAGTGTAAGTGCTTATAGATATAATGATGGAGAATGTATAGTTTTTCAATTGTGAAGTTTTATTTTCAATGTGAGTAATGATATATAATAGAAAATATATAATGTGGTAGAATTGTGAGTCTATTACTTTAAATAAAAATAAATAAATAAAAAAAGAAGATTCTTAGCCTCCGTTTGGGAAGTGGGTTGGCTTTTTGACTTTTTGGCTTTTTTGGCTATTTTAGCCTGGGCTAAAAAGTTTGGTTTGGGAAGGGCTTTTTGGCTTTTTGACTTTTTTGGCTTTTTTTGTGAGAGAAGAATGTAATGATTATGGGTTGGATGTGATATTTTGTTTTTTGTGGCTAAAATAGCCTATTTTATTTTTTGTGGCTAAAATAGCCAAAAAAGCCCCGTTTAGCTCTTGCCAAACGGAGGCTTAATATAAAAATGGTCATTGCTACATCATTTAATGAATAATTCTGTATAGAATTTTTCAAAGAATAGCTTCTCTTTTTTCCAATGCCTATCCAAGCACCTTCACAATGCTCTTTATCTTTTTAGGTATGGATGGAGCCTTGGAGGAATGAAGTTGCAATAAAATCCAATTTAAAATCTTCTTGATGCTTTTCTTTTTTGGATCGGTTCATAATGTCATTTAGTGTGTCCAAAACATGAAATGTGATTTTAGCTTGCCTTTAGTTTAAGTGAATTTCATTTAAAATATCAATAATACTTTTATTATTGTATGTCACATCAATTTGTATAAAAAAAAATGTTTATATAACATTTTTGATGAAATTACCATACACACTATGAATCTTACTCGCACTCCCTAATAAAAATCTCATATTTGTGGACTGTTCGATAGAAAGAAAAAGAAAATTATAAAGTGGACCAACAATATGATTTTCAGATAAAGATGGTTGGGAAGTAATCTCTATTCCCTCTTAATGACAATGACAATCCCAACTTTTTTTTCTTCATGTGATATACACAACATCACTATATATATATATATATATTTGATTGGCAAAAATAACCTTTATTGATGAAACAAAGAACTTATTACATCAAAAAAGGAAAAAAAGAATAGGTGCAAAAAGCATTATAGTGAGACATATCAATCCCAACTAAGTTGGCACCAATATGACCACCCAATCCCTTGCTACCACACTATCAAGAGTTGGAGAGAAACCAACCAAAGCCAAAAAAGAACAGCAAAAGGCAAAACCAAACTCAGTAGCAGTCCACCAAAACAAACTCAGCAGCAGCCCACCAAGCTAACCTCTGTTTTCAACACCAAGACACAAACACTAAGAACCAAGGATAGCACTGCAATAACAAACATTAGCAGCAGCAACTAGGGTCATCCCAATACCAAAATAGCACTGCAGCATCCCACCACTCAGTAGCAACTAGCATCAGTCCAAAACCAAGAGAGCACTACAGCAGCCGCATCATCCCACCAAACAGCAGCACCTAACATCAGCCTAATACCAAGAATAGCTCTCCATCAGCAAGCACCAGCTGCAGCAGCAACACTTACTAACCCGAATCCATTCTCAGCTTAACACCTCCACTGCTTCACCCCAAAAAGACACTCAGCAATAGCACCTCTTCTCTTCTTTATACACTAGTACTCATCACTTGATACATCTCCTGGTCTTTAGAATCACAAGGTTCACTATGGGATCATTCTCATAGGCTTCCAACTTCTTTAACATCCTTCTTATAGTCCCAACAAACCTCACACCAATGCAGACCAAAAAACAATTTATTATAGTCCTAGCAAACATCCTTCTTATAGTCCTAGCTTACCAATTTATTATTTAATTCCTCCACCTCCCACTGGAAGAGTTATCTTCTGAAATTAAGGTTCCACTCCACCTCGCTATTTCTCTTGATATACATCACATTCACAAATTCAAACTTATCCAAAGACAAGGAATAGAGCCTAGGGAAAACTTCCATCAAGCACACATTATTACACCATTTACCTCTCCAAAACAGAGTGTTTTTCCCATCCCCAATCACTGGAGCAGAGTTTTCTTTATAGAATTCCACCAATTCTGGTCTGGTTCTAGCAACACCCAAAATATCAGCCCAGATACAAGATTTCCTAATGTTATCAACAGGTTCTAGGTACCACCCAATACCCACCTGATTGTATTTGTTATAGATCACCTATTTCCATAGAGCTTTAGGTTCAGCCCCAAACCTTCACCACCATTTCAATAAGAGGCAATCATTCATAAGTCTAATCCTTTTAACACCTAACCCCCCTTGCTGTTTTCTTTTTGAGATGTCCTTCCATTTGACCAAATGTATTTTCCTTCTAAGGCCATCCCCACCCCATAGAAAGTTGGATTGAATTGTCACAAATTCCTTAGCAACCCCTGCTGGCATTTTGAACAAAGATAGATAATAAATTGGTAAGCAGACCCATCAGGAAACTTTAATCAGCATTCATTGGGGGTAGAAACATCTTAGATGGGGTGTTGATAGCCAATGAGATTGTGGATGGCTGGAAGAAGAGTAGAAAGAGTGGCATTGTCCTTAAGTTAGACTTCGAAAGAGCTTATGACTCAATCAATTGGAATTTCTTATTTACTATGCTTTCAAATTTTACTTTTGGAGATAAATGGATAAGTTGGATGAGGGAGTGTATCTTATCAGCCAAAGTTTCTATTTTGGTAAATGGTTCGCCAACCTCAGAATTTAGCTCGTAACGAGGTCTTAGATAGGGTGACCCACTATCTTCCTTTCTTTTTAACATTGTGGCTGAGGGCCTAAATATCCTGTTGGGAAGAGCAAAACAGATGGGGTTGATCAAAGAGGCAGCAATTGGATCAAGTGCATTTAGGATCACTCACTTGCAATTTGCAGATAACACAATTCTATTCTGTGAAGCTGATAGGGGGGAGGTTAATAACATAAAGAGGATCTTAAGATGTTTTGAAGTATTGTCAGGCCTAAAAATTAACTACCACAAGAGTGTGGTGTGTGGAGTTAGGTTAATAGTTGAAGCATACAAGGAATTTGCTGATAAGCTCAATTGTCTACATCAAAGTTTGCCTCTAAAGTACTTAGGACTCCCTCTGGGTGCAAGTCTAAGGAGAAAAACCTAGATATACTTAACAGAGAGACATATCTAGAAAACTTTCTTGGGCTTTGTACGAGCATAGAATAATCTTCTCGTATAATCCTATTGATCAAGTTTGTACTCTTCCAAACGTCGTCGCTTTGCTACCTGAAAACACAAATGTGAGCTAGCTGGCGACGTCGTCGCTTTGCTACTTGAAAACAAAAATGTGAACTAGTTGGCGGGTGTGTACCAGAAACCCCTCCGATGCTTAAGTCAACAAGTAGACAATAGAAAATAAACTCTATGTATTTGAGAGTAAGAATTGCAATACCAGTCCATAAGTCCTGTCATGAGCTTTTATAGAATCCGCTTGGCACAATTCTAGTAGGACTCTAACTCTCCTTGGCAGAGTCCTCCTAAGAATCACACACCTAAGGATAAAGCTTATCCTTAGAACTCCCCTCTCACTGCAAGCCAAGTGAGATGACCTAATACTCTGCTCAGTTAACTGTACCCAACCGAGCTACCTCGGTTCTGTGCTCAACATTGCTGAATCGTGATGACCCCAACTACAAACTGGCTATCTGCCGAGCTACTCCTAGCTCGGCCCACTGCACTTGTAACCATCTCAGTCTGATATAAGGTTTGTCCCCAGATAGCTAGGTTCAAGCCCTATCAGCACATTTGCAAACGTCATAGCGTCTGCTCGGCCTAAGACTGAGCTACCCAATAGCTCATCCTCGGCCCACTATGCAGCCCAATCTTCACTAATGATGTTGCCTAGCTCGGCCCAGTTTGTTCACACAAACTACCCTCTCAGGCTTGTATTGATTGATTTGAATGAAGTTTTCTCAACTCCTTTATGGTGAGATTTTGGAGCCATCTAGGTGCCCATGCATTATGAGCCCTTTTCTCTCTATGTTCACCAGTACAGAAAATTATAAATCTGGTGTATTTGAAGCTAGTGGCTACAAATAGTGAGTCCAAATATTTACCTTTTGTTTGTTTTGATAAAAAAAAAATTATAAAAAAAGGTGTAGATGCCTAATCTTTTTAAAGTTCGAAAAACATTTTTCATTCAAATAAATTCAATTTTCGATGTAAGAAACAATCACAAAATATTTTTTCCGAAACAAAGAGTCTTAGATTCGGTTATTCATCAATCAGTACTCTCAATTCCCTTTTTCTGATTCAGGAAATTGTTTCTCCACCCAAATGGAAATAAGAGAAGGAATGTGAATGGTCACATTTCTCTTTACTTAGCAATAGCAAAGATGAAAACCCTTCCTCCTGGTTGGGAGATCAATGTCAACTTCAAATTGTTTGTGTTCGATCATATTCGAGATAAATACTTAACCAGGTATATCTCGTTGGAACAATCTTCTGTGTAAAATAAATAACTTGAAACAGATCAAAGAAAAATAAATAAATTACTTACAGAATTTATTTTTACCGAACCGAATAAATATTAAAAGATCAATTCGAGTGTGTGACACTCTGTCCTTAAGACAGATTTGCCCCGCTACGGTGCTTACAGACAAATGACGTCTATCTTTCAGGATACAATGATCTTCACAAATTGTAGTAGCACTCCTAACAATTTGTTCGGTGAATAAAAACCTTTGTTTTATACTCTCAAAGTATTCCCTAAGATTAATATGAGGAATATATGCAACAGAGTAAAAATTGGACAGCAAGAAGATGAATTTTTCAGTCAATATTTCGACCACCAAGACTACTGGAAATGGCAGATATTTATAGGCAAAAAGACAGACCCCAATAGGTCTGATTTTGAACATGAATAGGTGCAAAAAACTGGACAAATTTAGTTTGAAATTCAAACAGATTCGGTGGCAGTTTCAACAGATAACTACGCAGCAGTTTGAATCTGTTCTGGGCAGTTTGAAC